AAAAGGTGTTGCCTTCCTCGGCCAAAAAAAGAAAAGGAACATCTAGGGCTGGGCAGTATGACACTATATATCGTTATCGTGATAAATTGTCACAATGCAATCAAATATGCTGAATATGTGTATATCGTCAGAACACTAACCAGCTGCATATTTCTTTATAAAGGGAGCAAAATTAGTCCAGTTTAACTGAATTTAGTGCAACACAATTTGCCAAATATTGAATAAAATCATTGTATTCAGTTTTTGATAGTATTGTTTAAAATCTAGCAATACTGGTTCTTTTTTCTCTGTTCCAACTGATCAGATATCTAAAAACATAAACATCATGACATGTCTCATGACTTTTTTGAAGTGTTGTGATATTCTTATTGCCATGTTGCACACCTCTAGGACCATCCATACCAGCGTAAAGTTTAAAAACCAGGTTCTGTCATGGTATGGGGGTGTTTTAGTGTCCATGGCAACTTACACACCTTTAATACTTACATTCACAAGGTAAAACATCAAATGTCTTTTTCTTCTTTTTTTTAACTGTAGATGCAGGTCAAAGAGAATTTACCACCCCGTGTTTTAACCCCCCCCCATTTACCTTTTGAGTCTTTTTGGTTTTGAGCTCACTCTTAACTAGTCTTAAGACAATGCTCCATTGCTCAGCTGACTTTGTTGAAGATCTGTGATATGGGTAACTGGTGCAAAACCCACTTGCATACAAACTGAAATGTTCAGTTTGTTTTAGTTAAGTGAAGATTTATGCAGATACAGTACCCCTATTTGGTTTTTGACACCCAAGAGGGTCAAGAAATATACTCAAATGCTGTTAGCCAGCTTGATAACTTGGATACACATATGGTAAACATTGTGATAAGTATCTGCTTTTGGCAGTGGTTTTATGATTTTTTATGATTAGGATTGTTATATGATTTTTTGTGATTAGGGTTGTTAAATTCCTTGCACAATTTAATTTTAGTTCTCTTTGCTTAATAGGTGTGATGACTGAGCTTTTGCACCTTATGAACACTGTTGCCAATCAGGGGAATGGAAGCTACGGGAGACCTTGGCAGCACCCCTCAGACCTTACCCGCAGGTAAACTGAGGTGTTTTAATTTTTATTTAAATAAAGATATTAATTGTATTTAATGAAACATCTAACACCCAGTTAACATGCTGGGTGCAAAAAACAAAAATACATGACCTCAGTGAATGAGTGCGATTATATGCACTTAATCTGATAACTGCAGAAAATCAGATTTTGTCAGAAATTCATTTAACGAGTTTACGTGCACTTGGGTAATCCGATATTGCGAAAACTCTGGATCTGCAAGAATTGAGCAATAATTGGGTTTCTGCACTGCATCCTCCAATAAACTCACAGTATAAAACGTGACACAAACATAACGTAAAACTCAAATCATGCTGCAGATTTTTGTTTTTTTAAACATTGAGTCACTTTACTGGAAAGTATGAATATACACCATCTAGAAGATGAAGAACATTTGAGTTCTTTGTTTCATCAAGCCTATTGTTGGTTTCAGCATCGCTCCAAAAAGTCCTTTGTTGCCATCTTGCGGGTGCTGCATTAAACGCTGCTTACTGTTTTTGCAACAGCACTGTTTTTGCACATTTTGCCCAAGCTAAGGAAAATGAAAGAAATCAGAGTAAGAGTATACATGCAGTGAAAATCCGACGACTGAGCTAAAATCCAGGTCTCCTAATCGGATTTCTAGAAATCCAATAACGACGTTATTCTGATCTAAGAAATCGTGTGCCATTTACATGACCACTTGAATGATCAGATAACTACTAAATTCCAGGGATTGTATTACACATATGTATGAGTGCATGTAAACACAGTCATGGGTAAGTAGTGAAGATGTATGACAGTGAAGAAATTTGAGATTAAAGTTTCTCATCCCAATCTTAATTTGTGTTCCATGCATTGGTACACTGCAATAATTGTATCTTCAGTGTGTTTTCATTCTCTGTTTCCAAGAAACTACCAGCCACGTAACAACGGCCATTTATTCTCCCTGGATGAATGGCGGAACTTCAACTACCGCTACCATCGCCGTTTTGCTGAAGTGCCTCAGCCGTTCATCCGGAGTCCATTGCTTTGATTTCAAACATTCAGGCCCCACAGATCTGCCTTTTTCTCTCTGTATTACAGAGACTGCACTGTAGCCTCTTAGTACTTCTTTGTATTCCAAACATCTCTGCTTGGTATAGTGGGTCCCTAGTGGAGTTGTGGCCTGTTGCACTTAATCTGTAAGTAAGCTAAACTGTAAGTGTTTTCCTTTTATACTTTTGCACTTCTTTTGTTTGTGTATTCACAAATAAGGTTGCTGTGATATTTTTTGCGTGTGTTGTGTGTTTGATCAAGATCTTAAATGTTGTTTATTTGATGCTGGTGTAACAGAGGTTGACAAATTCGGAGCACTCCTGCCTCAAGAAACTGGCCGATGGGCCTGGCAGGACATTCAGTATCTGCTTCCTGAGTCATTGGTTTGTCTGCCTTTGAGCATCAACTTCAGCTTTCGTTTTTGTTTGTGGGTGTACTTGCTTTTGTATATAAATGTTTGTGTGTGTGTTGAATTGTGAATGTTGTGATGCAGTGTGTAGATTTGGCTTGTTTTACCCTTTTCATCCCTGCCAATTATGTCGTTTAACTGTTAGTCTTGGTTTCTGTGAATAACTGAGAGGATGCAGACACTAAAAAAGAAAGTTGTTCAGACTCTTCTTTTCGCTCTAGGTTTGTACCAGAAGCATTCACCAAATGGTGTCCAGATTGTATATTTGTTTACACCTTTACTTGTGTCTTGGGACTTTTTGGAAATTGTCCCCTCTTAGCTTTAGTTGGGAGAGTTAAGGTCCTGAAATGTTTGTATGTTTACACCACTGCCTTACTGTTTGCAAGTTTTTGTGTTTGTTTTTTTGTTTGTTTTTCCTTACAAGTAATAGTGTGAGGTGTTATTTTTCACTAACTTGTAAAACTCTTGTTTTAGGTACTTTTTGTAGTATTTGTTTGGTTTAAAAGGAATATTAAATCTTTACTATTCAATTATATAAAATCTGTCTGAGCTGATATCATCTATAACATCTGTGCTGATAGTGCTGCGATTGACACGTAGCACTGTGAGTGGGGTTAAAGAGCAGTTGCTCTTCAGTCATAGTCATAGAGAATTTCAATACTGCACATTTTTAGTGTTTCCCTTGCTTTTATATGCCTGTTTTAACTCATGGAGAGTTTGGTTGTTACCTCTTGTTCAATCGGGTGTGTGAATAATGAAAAGCATGCATGCGATACTTAGGACTGGGATCGATAAACACTATAACTGGCCAATGTTGGCTTTATTTGGCCTGTTTTTGGTCATCTTTGTGTGGGGGTTTGGTGACTACAGGTGCTGGAGCTTAAACCAACCTGAGTTGATAGATTTTGCACAAAAATCTGAGAAAAAAAAAACATGCTTTTTGAGCACAGAAGACAAACCACAGGGCACCTTGTATTTCTGCCACTTCAAGGGCTGAATCCAGGATAATACCACAACTGCTTCTGGAAGCATGCAGGTGAATAAATTTCCTTGTATGAATGTCCTCGTGCTTTGACTGGTCAGTTTGCTGAGCAGAAACTTTAGGACTGTGAATACCTACAGACTTTCTTACTCTACAAAACACAATCCTAAAGAAACCAAGATGTAGATAATTAATAATACTTTGTACATTGTAATATTCTGAACTAAAAATTGGTTATTTACATTTATCCAGGTTTCAGTCCAAGCTGTTTTTTTCCAGTGCAATCAGTACTGGAAAAGTATCAATGTTTTCCCTTGCTCTGCAGTAGTCGGGACAGGCAATGACTGGAATATCTTGTGAGTAATAGTGTTCCTCTGATCTCTGAGGCTTAATTGTTTTTGTTTAAAGTATTTTTTTTAATTGGTTAAAATTGAATTAAAAGCTGTATTTCACATTCTGTCTTTTGGAGTATACAGTCTTCAAATTTAGCTCTTATCTGCATTGTGCATTTTACATGGTGTGTTTTCTTTTTTCTACAAGGTGGCCTGTCTTTCTGGAAATGACTATCTGGTTTGAATTTGGTGAGAAAGAAAAGATGAAGTTAGTCCTGGGAAAACATGGATGCAGTCAGACATTCTGGAGTGGCATCTAGTATCATGTTGATGTTCATCTGGACATCTGCTTAGTCATGTTGGGTGAGTCACGTAACAATGACATGAAATTCACTGAGCTGTTCGATGATGCATGACTAGTACTTCAAGAAGATAACATGACATGCTTTACAAGCTGTTTTCCCATGCGTATGTGGTGTTATTTCAGGGTTTGAACCTGAAGGCATGAGAATTGGCTTTGACTAACCAAACGAGTAAAGACGATTAAGCGCAATCATGTATAGGTCTCAGTTTCAACCATTGCAGAAGTGTATTTCAGATTAGCAGTTCACTCAATTTAGAGTGAAATAAGGACGAATATTTGCAAATCAAACAAAGAAGCTGCTGATGTTCTCAGAACATTTTCCACCCCAGAGTTCAGATTGTGTTTGGGAACTTTTGGATTGTGAAAAGTGCAACTTCTAAGACTGAACTTTGGAGGTGTACAAGTCTATTTAAAACATGGAAACTCTAATAAAGGCAGGGGGTGCTCACACTAAATAGTGATAGTGAAATTATATTTAGCTTTTGATGTTTTTGTATACTTTTTTATTAGCTATATGTTCTCTTTTCCTGACACTGATAAATTAATAACTTGCACTTTAATGATCATTTTGATTGGAAATGAAATAAATGAAGGGTGGTCGCTGACGTTTGCACAGTACTGTACATCACTGTTTTAGTGATTTTATAGTGATACTTAGTGATGAGTTTTTTATAAATGTTTTTTGTTAATGCACGTCATGGTAGTGGTTTTATATTTGTGCCATTTTAAATAAAGAACCCTATTTAAATATATGGCAGAAATGACTGACAGACTAAAAACAACAATGAACACACTGCTTGGCATTTTTTCACATTTTTATTATCAGTCAACATCAGTCAAGAGTTGCTGAGGTATAGTATGAACAATACATAAATTCCAACATAACAGTACTGAAGCTACAAAATTAGATTTGTATATACAAATTACATATACACATGTACAAAAAAGCTTTTTTTTCGTTTTGCAAAACAAAGCCTTCTCTTTTAGAGCTGAGAGATGCTTTGATGAGCATAATTTTAGGTTCCCTTGAAGTTTAATAACCTGTCATTCATCTGTAACTCATGTCACTTTTAATTGTTGCTTATACCTCTTCATAAGTGACCAACAAAAACAAGCGCAAAAAGAAGAAAAAAATCAATAATAAACCACCATGAGCAGCATCTCTTTGATCTAGTCCAAGAGGGATTTTAAAGTCGCAGGCTTAGGAGATATGAGGCTAAAAACATAAGTTATTTAACACAGCAGTTTAAATACTACTAGTGTACCCCTTCAAACTACTCTTTAAATAACAGGTTTTTTTTCCTCCTCCTATTTTAGTTTGGTCAACGACAAAACAAACCAAAGCTTCCAATGAGTATCACTTTACGTCTCTAAGAAATCAGTTAAAACTTTGTGACTGTAGACAGAGTACTAATTGATTGCATTGCCTCCTGTTCTTTAAGCATACTCTTATCATACATGTCTATGGTTGGTTCAGGGTAAAGGGACAGGTTTGCTTTGCAGGCTGTGAGCGCCGTAACGTCAGTTGGGCAGCAGGAGACTTTCAGGCAGGAAGAGGACAGGCAGGGGGTGCTGCAACGGGTGCCATTTAGAACTGGCTCTCCGAACTCCAGCTGAACGGTCACACTGTGGATCCGGACCCTGTGGCACACCTCTCTGATCTGTCGGTGGAGGGTTATGATTCCAGAGTGGGAGCTGTGGAGATCAGGGGTGACTCTGACATGAAAGGTGGCCACATACCGTCCCTTTGTCAGCTCCCACATATGGGCCTCATGAACACTGAGGACTCCATGCAGCCTGCACACATCTTCCACTGCAAGATAGATGGAGAAGAGGAGGGAGATTGGAAGTGTTATTAAAGAAGGCTGGAAGGGAATCAGATTTTCTTTTTGTTATTTAAATAATATAATGAATCAAGTAGAGATAAAAGTAGTCCGGCAAAAACAACTTGAGAAGGAATAAGAATCAGATTAGGCAAAACTACTCCTACTGAGTTCTCTACAGAAGTGCGGCAGAACGTCTTATCAGCATAGGACCTGTAGTTTGTTACAGGTGTACAAATCCTTCAAAAGTTTCGTTCTACTACATGTAGTTGAGTAATTGGAACTGATTATTAGGACCGCAATCACCAAGATTAAATCCCCAGAATGCCTTCACAGCACTCCCTCCATACTCACCGACACCTGTAAAGTTCATGTCATGAGGAATCCTGTGCAGCAATATGGTTGCTGTCTCTTTGACCAGAGGAACCCCAGAGGACATGACTATAGCCACCATCACCAGTGTCAGACTGGGGTCCACATAGCACTGCCAGCGGCAGGGCTCCCCGCTGTTCACAGGCCACACATAAAATAGACTTGAGGTCACCACCACCACAAGTGAACCCATGGCATCGTTCAGCACGTGGAGCAACACTCCTGGCAAGAGTAACAAGATTATACATGTAAACGATGAGAAGCAAAGTGCTGGTATAACAAGATCTGTTAGAACTGCTTGTCTGATATGAAGAAGACAATACGTGGCTTTTTAGAGCACAGCTCAGTGACTGACTTCAATCAAACTGAAAAAAGACCCTTTCAGTTTACTAGCAAGTATGTTGATGGGCTTACCTCTGATATTGAGGGGTTGACCATCTTCCTCACTTGGGTCTACTTCTTCTAAGTCTGTCTGTTCTGGATAACCTGTGGATAGACACAAGCATTGAGTTCAGTATACATGTTTATTATAAAGACATTTTCAGGATATACAGTGTTAACCTCAGTTTGATGGAAGTAACAGTAAAAGGTCAAGACAAAATCAAGAAACTGCTGTATCTTTAGTGAGACTTGGGGTGTAACTTAATGCTTTAGAGTGCCAAATTATGAGATGTGCTTGTCAGGTGAACTCTGACAAGGTGGCTTAAGCTCTTTGCAGATAAGTTTTAAGTGGAAGCAGGGTCACCATTTGTGCCAAAATGAAGGGGGGGGTTGGATAACTAGCCACGATCATAAGGAACTCTGTCCTCTTGGTTCCAAGTTGTGGTGTTGGAGCATATCAGGTCTTATAAAGCAACCTCAATTGTGATTATTATTATACTGAATAAGATCATTTGTGTACAAGCCAAGATAAATGACGTGTATCATTTGGCATATCAGATCTAATAAAACAATCTGAACTGTATATCAAAGAGTTATTGTTCTAAATAAAATAATATAGATATATAAATAGATAAATAAAAGATAATCTACATAGATAAACAAAAGATAAAATCATGAATTACCATTTATGATAGTCAATAATTTGGTAACATTTAACCCAAAATAAAGATGGTTCAGTTTATGATATATTGAGTTACGCATACACTGTGAGGAAATTGTAACTTAATATATAAGTTCTGTCTAATAGAGCATAGACTTACTGAAAATACCAAGTAAATGTGTGGTACATTAAAACTACAATACAATCAATTTTTAATTACAGTTGAATACGATAAACCCTAAAAGCACTCATGCTTGAAACTAGGTATTCTAAAGTCTGTGCAAATATTCATAGAGATGCTGATTTTCATATGTGATGGGAATATTCAAAGTAAATGCTTTGCAAATTGCAAATAAATTATGGTGAAAACTGCAAAAATATGTACTTAAAATGAATTTATATTATTAAATGAACTGTGGCATCCTTTATATCTTATATGGGCAACAAAGAATTTGAGAAAACGTTTGCCCTACATTGCTTCCAGCCTTTCTCTCCTTTGGACCTTTGGCCAAAACAATGGCCGTGTTGCCACGTGTGAAGGCTAGGAGGGGATGCCGTTGGGCCGACACCTTGACAACACGCATAGCTACCATAATAACAAGATCTCTCTGCCAAAACAGCAGTCACAGACTTTTGCACTACCTTTTGATTATACTTGCAATAAAGTTTTCAACACTTCCTCTAATGGAATCCTTGCCCATTTAAGACATAGAGTATTCCAAGTTGAAAGCTGGCCTGCACATAATTAAGCTTCCCTATTAATAAATCAGGGTCTGTGATTGTGGCCTATAGGTTGGTTTTTGATTTACAGTTTGGGGCTAAATTAATATAAGCAAAAGTAAAATATTTTAAATTGACATACAAAAATTTAAAAAGAAGCATTGTCTTAGTTTTATATACAACGCCCATTTAATCATTCTCACAACAGTCCCTTCATAATTAAGAATGTTGTAAACTAAGCAATTTCATGTACTTAATGTTTTAAACCAAGAGCACCTGCTTCCCCGTCCACGGTCGTCTGCATGCCCTGCGATGCTTGACGCTTGGTTCTCCTGCACAACCACCGGCAGTCCTGGAAGATGAGAAGCCCCACTATGTTAATGCCCAGACCTACTGAACCGACGACCAGCACCAGCTCCGGCTTGTCAATGGCCTCCGGTGAAACAAGCCGCTTCAGTGCCTGGACACAGATGGTGAAGCAAAGGGCAGCCAAGAAGACGGCATTGGCCAGCGCACCGACGACCTCGACTCGGGCCAAGCCGTAACTCCAGCGCCTTGATCCGTTACGGCGCCTAACACGGGTGGCTAGCAAGCCGACGGAGAGCGATATGATGTCTGATAGCATGTTAAAGGAGTCCGAGATGAGTGCTATGGAGTTTCCGATGTATCCTGACACTATTTCGGCTGAGAAAAACAACGACATGGTTCCCAGCATACAAATCAAGCGACAACTTTTCCCAGTGTAGCGACCCATTTCTAACTGTCCTTCAAAGTGCTTGAAATGATGAAAATAAGAGTGATGCTGGTTACTCACTGACTGTGCTGTTGGAAGAAAGAAACAATGTAATGTATCTTTAACACTACTGTCTGTTTCCACACTATCTGGTAAAACCTAAAGAGTTTCCTGTTGATGCAAACCATCCAGTGGCTTTAAGAGCTTGAGTCTGACTTGAGACCGTACATGCGGTTTTGTTTTATCTCTCAATTCATGGATTGTAAATCCTTGAATAAAAAAAAAAAGACAACAGACATTGTCAGTATTCCAGCCAATCATATTCCAAGGTCAAACCACACACAATTGAAGGTGTTATTATATAACGTAGTTTAGCCAAAGTTTAAGTGAGATAGACTATTAAGTTGTGAGGTCAATAATTGACAGTTACTGTACTTCTACTGTATCAGATACCGTTATCTCTTGTTATCCTTAAAGGTAGATAAGCTGTATTGTGTTGTAGGTGAACTACCTGCAGGTGAAGTACCGAAGCTACTCGTTCACAGAACCTTTCATGGTAGCAGTTGGTGGTACTAAAAAATGCTATTTTTTCCAGCTTGTAGTGTGTCCAGCTTTCCTTTTTCCATCAGGTCAGGTGTCACAGGCCTGTTGCCATTATAAGTAAGTTTTTTGATGATTCATGATGATTTTTTAAAAATGTGTCATCAACCATTTTTCTCTCTGTATGTTAGCTTTGCATCCAAGTGTTGTGGCTGGCTTGCCTATATTTTCATTAAACACTGTAGACTGTAGTGTACACTGCACACTGGTTTATCATATAAAGCAGAGGTTATCGAGTACGCATATTGCATGAATCAGAATGTGGTTCCAGCAGAGCAAATTCCCCATAATAATGACCAGTAGGTCAGATTTCTGGACAGATTCCAGGGTCTGTATAACGTTAATGAGAGGAGTGTCTTATTACATTATATGAGTTGATGCGTATCGTACAAAGTGCATTTTAGCAAAGTATCAATTCCCATAAAGCATGTTGCCTTATATGCCCTTCGCTCTCGCCATCATCATATGTCAGAATAGAACACTATTTAGTGGCCTACATAAGCACAGTATGCTGCAAAACTCAGAGACCACGCTTTATACAATTCCAAGTAAAAAAAATCAAGTTATTCATTTCTGTGTTTTTGAAAACCTTTTTTTTTTCCACTTTAACTTTCCTCTTCTTTATGCAGGTGGGTCATTTTGTATTCAGTCTCCTCAGAAATATCTCCAAAAAAATGAATAACTTGTACTTGATTGGCCATGCTAACTGAAAATTAAATAAATAAAGGGCGGTCTCTGACTTTTGCACAGCAGTGCAAATTTTTATAGATTTTTACAAATTTTTACTTTTTCAATCTCCGGATAAATTTCGCCTTCTTTGGACAAAGAGTCTATAAAATTCCATAGCTACAAATATATAGATACAATCTGAAATCTGAATTAAGAAGATGAAACCAAGGTTTTATCTGTTCAAAATGCATATCTTGATTGTGCATACAAGAGAGATATCTGACTCAAGATAAGGAGTAGTTGATAATGATTAGACCTATGGTCCCAAGCTTTTAAAAGAGACGCCTTACTTTTCCAAACGTGCGGGCTTCGTACAAGCATTTATCCCTTCAAAGAAAGTTTAGGAAATAAAACAAGCGAGATTTACTTTTACCGTACATATCTTCCAAATGAGTGGTCAAAGCTTCATTGCAAAAACATAACCTGGCTGTTATATCAGAACACAGCATATCGTCGCTGTCCAAAGAAAAACAAGCATCTCCAAAATGGTAACTTTACAGGAGAGGGCAAACGCTTTTACTTTCACTGAAAGTTAATGTAAAGTTATTTTATTCAAAGCAACTTTGGAGCATTTCTATTGGTCCAATCATGATGAAATTTGAAAACAATGTAAAGGACAGATGCAGAAAACTAAAAATCACAAAAAATGGAGATACGTTTTTTTTTTTTTGGACAGTAATGATGTGTCTCATAGCCTTTTCTCAAATCCGCAAAAGCTGGATAGAGTTTGGAGAAGCTGATATCTTGCATATATGTATTACCTATCTTGCGCAAGATTAAACCACTGCCTTAATGGCAACTCTCTAAAAACACTTCTAGAACATTTCTTTGTGATTAACTTTTAGATATTATTATAATGTAAATATTGCAAATATTTCAAACATATTTGGATGATTGTATTCATAGTATCAAAGAACGCTTTGCATTGTCATAATTCATTGATCATTAAAATCACAGAATGCAAATTAAACGTGTATCTAAGGGCCTGTTTACACCTTGGTGTTTGCTATATACAATTTCTTGAGCAGAAATGCGTCTGCTGAGTGCTAACTAGAAGATTAGAGGATAAACAATGAAACAAAAGATGTTGGACACGTGAGGCTGGAGTCTTCCACCAGACCAAGGTTTTTCTTGGACTCTGGGCCGATGAAAGTGTCCAATCCAAGCTTGTCAACGGAGGGGAAAAATAATCAAAAGTAAAATGAAAATGCAAGGAAAGTAAAATCGGATCTCATCTGGCCACACTAGGCACGCATTTTAGTGACACGTAAATGTTAAATGTAGTCTGGCCAAAGTATATATGATCCAGACATGAAACACACACCGATCAGGCATAACATAATGACCACCTCCTTGTTTCTACGCTCATTGTCCATTTTATCAGCTCCACTTACTATATAGGTGCACTTTGTAGTTTTACAGTTACAGACTGTAGTCCATCTGTTTCTCTGCATACTTTGTTAGCCCCCTTTTACCCTGTTCTTCAGTGGTCAGGACCCCCATGGACCCTCACAGAGCAGGTACTATTTGGGTGGTGGATCATTCTGAGCACTGCAGTAACACTGATGTGGTGGTGGTGTGTTAGTGTGTGTTGCGCTGGTCTGAGTGGATCAGACACAGCAGTGCTGCTGGAGTTTTTAAACACCCCAGTGTCACTGCTGGACTGGGAATAGTCCACCAACCAAAAATCCTGTGACCACTGATGAAGGACTAGAGGATGACCAACACAAACTGTGCAGCAGCAGATGAGCTATCGTCTCTGACTTTACATCTACAAGGTGGACTGACAAGGTAGGAGTGTCCAATAGAGTGGACAGTGAATGGACACAGTGTTTAAAAACTCCAGCAGCACTGCTGTGTCTGATCCACTCACACCAGCACAACACACACTAACACACCACCACCACGTCAGTGTTACTGCAGTGCTGAGAATGATCCACCAAATAGTACCTGCTTTGTGAGGGTCAATGGGGGTCCTGACCACTGAAGAACAGGGTAAAAGGGGGCTAACAAAGTATGCAGAGAAACAGATGGACTACAGTCTGTAACTGTAGAACTACAAAGTGCACCTATATAGTAAGTGGAGCTGATAAAATGGACAATGAGCGTAGAAACGAGGAGGTGGTCATAATGTTATGCCTGATCGGTGTATATTAAGACTCAAAATCTGCTCGCGGCAGAACGTAATACCAAGGAAATAACATTGTGTCACACTGATAGGAGAGATACACTATTCCCCCAAAAATGGACCCGAAATAGTGGTGTAGTCTTATAGTTTTACTGTGGGGTACATACCAATGGTCATTCTCCTTTATTTGTATCACATCATCTGCAAGGTTCAAACTACAAAAAGGTCCGCTAGTGCATTACTCCTGCCTGATTACTCAGTTTAGTTGTGTTATTTGGACTTTAAATCAATTTATATGTGCTGTTTGGACTTTATAACACAATTGAGGTAAAGTGTAAAGAGGCTTCTGAATTTCAATAACCTGAGTAATATGTCATCGGCCACTGTACTAATATCTGTATGGCTGCAATTAATCTTTGATTTTGATAGAAACTGTAGGCCTGGCAAATCAAGGTCCGCTTGAGTGACCCAAGTCTCGAGCTAACGTGACGTATTCTGACATTAAACAGGGGAAATGAAAGCTGCTCTTATGAATGTTGTCACTAATCCAAAACAAAGCAGCTTTGTTATTTACACAACTGACCCCTAATAGTTGTACAAAAATACAGAAATTTAGTAATATTTGGTAGAAGGCATCTCTTTGATCTAATGATGAATGAAAATAGACTATTACGCAGGAAGGTAAGATTATTAACTGTTAGTCATTAATAGGTAGTAGATTAGTAGATATTATCTGGCCTGTAGCACTGTTGGCATCGTGTTTGTTGGTGGCCTGATGTTCTAAGCATTCCAACTCAACAACGAAACTGCCAACAACATCTGTTGTGTGCCAAGGTTGTAAATGAGTGCGTCACAATGTGCAAGTCCACTGTGTTTTGTTTTTTGACTGCAACTACATGTTACAATGACAGACGGACGGGAAAGATACAGCAACGTATAATAGCAAAATGAAAGAATTGAAGCACAGAAACACATTCGGTACAATATCAGAGCTGCAATAAAAGACGAAGAGAAAGAGACAGGGAGTGAGGGAGACAGAGAGAGAGAGCACTCAGGTTGCTGTTAAAATGTAATCTACTATGTCCCACATTGAGGACTAGATTTACAAGAATTTATAGTGTCCGTGATGATTCTCATGAAATGTTTACTAGTGGGAGAAGATTGTAAATGTGTCATTTGAACAAAACATTCATAACTTTCACTGTTTTCTTATTTGCAATTGTTCTTTAATCTACACACACTGAAGAGCACAAAGGTGTGAACAGTTCTGCGGTTTAAGAACACGTCATGAATCTGATGTAGACTGTTTCTTAGGATCTTTCTCAAGAACAAATTTAAGAAAGAAATACTGGAGAATGAGGCCCGATGTTATTAAACAACACACGAATGGAAAAATAGCTACAGAGCCATAGCAAATATCTTAAATTACATCCTTACTTAGGATGTAACGTACACTTTAGGACTTAGGACGTACTTACATCCCCGTCAGTACAAACGGGTTTGATAATATGTAAATGGGAAGTTCATGGAACCACAACTAGTTCTACTCGGACAGCTGCGCAGCTAAACGTTTCACAACGCGCTCTCGGACTAAAGATAAGGACGTTAAGAAAGAAGCCCACAATCACTCGAAAAGAGCTGCAAGATGACAGGAAAAAGATGGTGCTTCGCCGGTTCTTTAGTAAAGAAAATGGTTCTATATAGAACCATGAACACTCAAAGAACCATTTGCATTATTAAAGGGTTCTTTGCATCATAAAAGCGTTCTTCAGACTGATGGAAAATTTGCATGAATGTGCTGTAGATGGTTATATAAAGAACCTTTTTGAAAAGAGTTCTATATAGCACCCAAAA